AGAGAGAGAGAGAGAGAGAGAGAGAGAGAGAGAGAGAGAGAGAGAGAGAGAGAGAGAGATGGTAACCCCGACGGCAATTCGGCGATATTGGCAAAAAATGGTGGTCGGAGCAGTGTGCATCATGGCCTCCCGACCTGGACGAACTTGCTGGCGAGAAATCCAGGGGTATGCGCAAGGCGTAAGGAAAAGCAGAGGACATCCATCAGTTATATAGTCGAGAAAAGCAGGAAATGGAACATTACGCACCGCAAGAGTGCATACAGAGGACATAGGTCCTCGCCGCACGACCCCTGAGCAACTGCAGAAAAGACAAAAAAATATGGCAGTGTATCTTTCCATGTTCTAAGGGGGCATTCATTCTCATTTTGTGCTCTTTCGCAATAGGATGATAGTAAAGGAACTCAGGTGAAGTGCCGTCGGAGGAGGTACTTTGTGTGAGTCAGGCCTTCCGGGCAATGGGGGTCACCCTTGTTCGATGCCGTGCAACAAGAGCATGGCGATGTAGTGAATGCTTGAACATCGTCATGATCTGCAACAGGAGGTATTATGGTGCACCTCTGTACTTTACATACACTATTAGTCTGCCAGGCACTACGTAGGCTTGTTGCACACGCCAGATGGTGGCGCCAGATGCTGGCGCCAGATGCTGTTGGAGGCGCCAGCCTACTTGAGGACATGCTCGAGCGGCCATAGCCGCCATAGCCGTAGCTGTGGGTGATGAGGTTGGGGGAGGAAGGAGGAGGATCCATGTTGCCAGACTGATGACAGGTTTGAGGACATAGCTTACCTGGACTCACCTTGCACCAATGTTATCATTGATCTGGTGCTCGTGTCCACGAAGGCGAGGAAGGATGACGTCATCCTCCATAGCTCCGTAGCTGCATGTTGACTGTGGAAGGAGGATGCCAGGATGGGCGCTCTGCTGAGATCTGTCAGTGGACGACGGACGTCAGAGGAGAGCATGCATTGCTGAGGTGGTGATAGGGGAGAAGCCCGAGGAGGAAGTGGGATCCGGAAAGCGACATACATGTATTATTCATATTTGAATGTAACTCTTTTCCTCCTCCTCCTCCTCTATGTCTCTTCTCTCGTCCATCCGTTCTTCAATGCTCTTTCTATGATGTTTCGCTGCTGACGAGATGTTCAATCGATGATGATAAGACGGGCGGGCTTGCAATTATTTGGAGACTTCATGCTGACGGCTGGGTTCAGATGTATGTGACAATTCTGATTGGCTTCTCAACAAGACTGGGTTCATTGCACATTTCTCAATTTATGCATGTCATCCTGGAGCAGGGCCCATGACCGACATGCTAATCTTCTCTGTACCCTTCCAATTGCAACAGATGTCCCGAAGGACTTATGTCTCATTTCCCTTTGGGGTACGATGGGCCAGTTGCACCACTTGCCATTGCCCAAGGTTCCGAACGCATCTGGACATGACCGATGTCCGAATGCATTCGAAAATCTTGGTGGATGGCAGTGGTGCATCTGTGCCCTAATCTGGCTTGAATTGTGTTCTTCTTGTAGCCTGGAGCAGAACAATGGGGAGGCAAGGTTGCGCTTTGCAGAGCAACAATGGGCAAAGAAGGTATGTTACACATCTTTTGCACACAGAGTGCTCTCCAGTCAATGCCATACAATGTGTGTGACACAGGCCCATTGCTTTCTCTCTTCTTCTTGCACACAGAGTGCTCGCCAGTCAATGCCATACAATGTGTGTGACACAGGCCCATTGCCTTCTCTCTTCTTCTTGCAGCCATTCCCTTTTGCAAGTAGCCCTGCGAACAGCAATAAACCAAGTTGCTACAATGTCATAGAGCAGGCAGGAGACCCACTGACCAGACATCATTGAAAGCCGAAATCAAAGCCAGAATCATACCAAAGTCGAACGAGCTAAGCACTAACGTCTCTTGATAATAATGAAAGCACTTCCTCGTCGTTCCTACGGCTCCAATGACCAAACCAACAACGTGATATGTAGCCCTCCTACAGGCGGCTATACCGTCGAGTCGTCGTCGTCGACGCTACATCCTGGGACTCCTACCTGGATCTACCAGGCTTGCCAACTTACGTCAGCAAGTGGTGCACGTGTCATCCATCATCTGCATGCCACTTGAAAACTCTGGAAGAACAGCCTGCCTTGGTCGACACCAGGTATGTGCCTCGTCACACTGCCTCTCTTCCTTCTCCTCACTGCTGGTACCACCAAGGACCTCTGCTACTGCAGCACTGGTAAATGGAGGGCGCAGCCTGGCTATGGCTGCAGCTCTCGCTCCTTCAGCTGCCAGCCAGCCACAGTGCAGCTTCCTCCTCGTTCGCAAGTGGCGAGCAGAAACATTACACCCATTCCTTGGACTCTATATGCATTGGAATATATATTGTTGAATAAATAATAAATGTTTTGCATAACAATCCCGCAGGCCACCTGGCATAGACTACCGGTAGTACGCGGTTCGTCCTTTGCTACTGCGGCTCGCGATCTGCCTCCCGCTGCGAGAGTGACATCTCGCTGGTTCATCTTTTGATGAAGTCGTTGTCAGCCGATGGCGTCGCCTGGCCTGCCCGCTTGGAACACCTTTGTTAGTGACACTTAGTGTGCCATTTTGTTATGGCAAAGCTGCACAAGTAACGCGATGCACCTGGTCTCTTAATATCTCACTTGCCTCTGAGATACACTCTGGGAATCTGCATTCACATGATGCAGGGAGTCAGGTGCAGAACGCACTGATTTACCTCTCTTTTTTTTAACTACAGGGAATGTGCTGGGGGGGGTACCTTGGTGTGTTTGTTTCCCTTCTACCTTCTTCCCCCGAATACAACGTACGGCCATTGTCTCTGTATTTGAGGCATCTTCAGTCTAGATACCGCTATAACGACCGTACGTTGTATTCGGGGGAAGAAGGTCGTCACAAACATGCAGAAATTTAGGGCACAACCTTGTCCAAAATGTCAATTAAAAGCTTCAGAAACGACGAGACTGCCGTCTTTGCGAAACACCTCATGAGTCACTTGGCGCTTTCGACGGCGGCCCATGCTCACTGCAAGCCTTTTGTAGTTGTGTTTGGGGAACGAGCTATTTTCCCCACCACGGCCCATCTCCGGACGTTTCTCCCTTTCTTCTTCCCGGCTGTGTATGGTGTGACGGAGAGCCATTGGACACTGCTTCAGGAGCTGGAAAAAATAATATAAAAATGGTCTTAATTGTGATCGTTCAATCATCGATGTGATATGTGTAGGATGCAGAAAGGGATGCCGCACTTAAGGCCAAAGATCAGCAAATGGCAAACTTGTTGCTGGAGAACTCAAAGCAGAAGCTGCAGGCAGTAGAACTGGAGAAATCGCTGAGGAAGACTGCAACACAAATAAAAGATGAACAAGCACGCACATCGATTGATAATGCAAAGCTTAAAGAGCAGGTCAGACTCTCTCTCCATTGATACTCCGCTATTGAAGTGAGAACAACCAAGTCCTCACCTTAAGACCTCTTTATGTTTTTCACACGTCTTTTCTACAATCAGCCTCAGCACCTGTTTGCCTTTTTTTCATGACTACCATGGACCCGGACACCAGACACTGGACAGTTTGGACTGGGCGCGGCCATCCGAATCTCATCTGGACCACAAAATTTCCTAGAAATGTGTGTGTGTGTGTGTGTGTGTGTGTGTGTGATAGATAGATAGATAGATAGATAGATAGATAGATAGAGAGAGAGAGAGAGAGAGAGAGAGAGANGAGAGAGAGAGAGAGAGAGAGAGTACAGAAGGGTCCAGGCTCCATCGCCTCTAAGTGAAGCCCAGCCTGTCTTGAGTTTTGAAACGTTTTCTCACCTTTCTTCAAGTTTTTTTCCAGTCAGCTGAGCACAGTGCAAGCCCAATGTGGCCTTATATACTACTAAGAAGCATAGCCAGCATACAACTACAACTACCTTGTGTGTGTAAAAGATTGCAACTTGCAATCCCCAAAACCCTCTGTTTTGTTGCCTTGACCATCACTGAAAACGTTTCTGATCTGGACTGGTGTGGACTGCAGATACAGGAGCTTGACGTACAGCTCCAGGGGATGAGGCGTGCTGTTTTGGAGAAAGATAAGGTCAGTGAAGATCAAGCAGTTCAATTCATCTCGAGAGATAATAAAAACGTTGCCTTGTCAGCAAGCATCAAATTCATTCATCACTGCCGTCTCTTTTTGTGCTTCCCCCCCCTCCCCCCCCACCCACTAACTGAAACCTAATGACTGAGACTCCATGCTACTCGAACGAGTGCCAGTCTGCTTGTTTTTCCACTGACAATTCGAAACTACAAAATTACGCATCCAGAGTTGTTGTGCAGACCCCTCTCCTCCCAACAGCCAGAATAACATTGGACAGTCTTTATTAGTCCTTGCTGAAAGATTGACGGTCTGCTAGCCCTTTTTTTTTTTTTTTTTTTTTTTTCCCTTCCTTCCTTCTTTTTTTTTTTCTTTTTTTTTCACCCCGGTTGTGTCTTCTTTTTCCCTTCTTCGTCTCTCCCTTCTCCTTCCTCGGCTATGGCTTCTCTCTCCTTCGTTTCCCTTGCCTTCGTCTTCTTTCTTCTTCGTTTTTTTTTCGTGTTTTTTTTTTTTTTTTTTTTTAGTAATAAATCCGGGCCGGATGGACCACAGATCACTCAGATCAGATCTGAAATTGATCAGACCAGTTGCTACACTGCATCTTAGCCAAACGGCCCAGAGAGGTATACCCTATCCCTTTCCTGGTATATGATACCCCTGAAACTTCAAAGCACACTCCTTTAGAAACAGCCCTATTGTCCCAATGGATGAGTACCATGGGCACCTCATGAGGCCTGGTGTGGCATTCTGAGCCACACGGGCCCCAGTTAGGGCCCGGTTCCAGACAGGCAGGGTAAGCCTAAGGGACGACTGTTCAGATGAGGCCCAGATGGGCCTGGACCATGACGGTTCAGGCAGGCCCAGGCCAAACGGCCACAAGGCCGGTACCGGTCAGGCCTAGGACCTACCGGCGGCACTGCAGAGGCTGCCACAGTTTTGGGCGCCAACCAGTTTTAAAACTGGACCGTTGATCTAGATCAACGGTCCAGGCCGGTAGGTACCAGCTGGTAGGAGGCCGGCCCAGCACTACAAAAGGCTGGGTACCAGCCTCAGTAGGGAGGTTAGTAAGGCTAGAGGTTAATCTTCAGGATTAGCGCATCAGCTTCAGCGTTAGCTCGTGTAGCGCAGCGCTGCAGCACAGCACGGAGCAGTGAGAGCGAAGGGTCCAGCGGCGAGCGGATGTAGCGCAGCACTTGGGCGCAGCGCCAGTTACCGGCCCAGCCCCTTGCAGTGCCATAGCGACGGTACCAGGTATCAGGGAGGAAGGCTTCGCCTTCCCTCCCTCTTCTCCTCCATCGCTCCGCTCTTCTCTCTCTCTCTCTCTCTCTCTCTCCTCCTACCTTCTCAGTCTAAGTCTACTCCTACTTCTCCTACAGGACTACTTTGGGTATGGGAGATGGTTACGAATTCTGATGACATCTGAGACAGCGACATTGGGACTACGAGTTGAGGACTACTTGGGATCTGATTTCATCTTCCTTCTGAAGATGTACTTGACATTGTGAGATCGATATCTGAGATATTGTGAGACTTGGCATTTGCGACATTTCGGATTTTCGTCACTTCTGACAATTCAAGATACTATCTTTGGAAACATTGAGTTGACGTCATCTTCCCTCTCCTCCTCCTTCTTCTCTCCCCTCTCTCCCTTCGTCTGTGGATGATCTTGGTCCCTGGCCCTTCGTCTATGTCTGAGGCCAGGGCATTCACACCCCTGATGAATGTTTGAGAGTGTTCGATTGCAGTACGAGTCAGGTCCGAGTCAGTCCAAGGTATCTCAAGTCTTCTGCTTGCAATTCTATCAACTCTGTATTATCTGGTCGGTTCTGGGAATCTGTGCCATACTTATGACTGTGTTCCACAAGTATGCAACAGTTTGGTATCGGAGCAGACCAGCATTGGAGGACTCACCGTTGATTGATTGATTGATTGATTGATTGATTGATTATCTATACCTGCACTCTGTTATCTTTAAATCGCAAGTTGCAATTTTTATTTTTTTGTTTCTCGTACTTTCATAGTAATTAGGTCGTTATTTTTTTTAAGGTTTGCGACCTTTCTCCATATCGCACAATTAGGGAATTGTTAATTATGAGCAACCTAATTAGCGCTAATTAGGGTTAGTCCTAACCTAGTCTAAACGACCTATCTAACCTATGCGAAGTTAGTGCCAGCCAGGCGCCGCACCAATCAAGGCAGATTGGGCCTGAGCTTGGCCATATGCAAAACTGCAACTTCACGGAACTTTCACTTTTTGCAAACTGCATCTTTTTTTGCGTTTGAAAGGTTGAATCTTTCCAGCAAATTGTGTATCTTCCTGCCACCATTCATCTTCTACTTAATGAATGACCTCGTGCTGATGCTAAATTCTTCCGATGAAAATTTCGTGAAATTATTGAATTTATGTTTAAACTTTAAATGTTTAAACTTGCTTAAACTTTATTCATTGTTATTTGCGCAAATTTAAATACTCTTTAATTAAAGACTTAACTTTTGCGAAATTAATTATTGCAATCTTAAATGTTCTTTAATTAAAGATTAAATCTTTTGCCCAAATTAAAATTCGTATTTTCCGATTAAAATTTGATTTAATTTCTCAAAAAATCGAAAATTCATCCGGGGGGGGAATTTTTTTTCTTTGATTAGTGTCAGACTTCAAGGTCAGGGGAGAAAGGGACTGTCTGTGCATTGCTTGCCTCTCTGCCCCTCCTCCCCACCCTACCTTCTCTCTCCTCTCGGTATACGGTTGCCAGCATCTGGACACGTCAGCAGAGTGCCACCTCAGCACTGACATGTCAGCAGAGTGCCACCTCAGCAGTGACACATCAGCAGAGTGCCACCTCAGTAGTGACACGTCAGCAGAGTGCCACCTCAGCAGTGACATGTCAACAGAGTGCCACCTCAGCAGTGACACGTCAGCAGAGTGCCACCTCAGCAGGTGCCACCTCAGCAGTGACACATCTTGATGCGCCGCAGCCAACGACTGGCCGCATGCGGATCCGCAGGAGCGCCTCAACAGGGACCTAGGACCCCTCGGATTCCGTGCAGGCCACGCACGACCATGGCTGTTACCGCTGATGACAGTGCACACGCCAGCCCCTCGAGGCCGGTTACCCCTCCTATCCCAGTTCAGCAGGCCGATGAACCACTTCTAGTGTTCCTCGAACGCCTCCAGCAGTACTCGGAGACGACGACAGCTGAACTGCGCAAGTGGGAAGAGGAGGAAGCCGCCCGCCAGCAGGAAATTCAACGCCAGCTGGCAGAGGCAGAGGCAGCACGTCAGCAGGACGCAACAGAAGCTGCAACAGCCACACGGTTGCAACAGCAGCAGGTCGAGGCAAGTCAAAACCCCACGATGGATCTTGCTCGCGACGAAGCCACGTACGCTAGGCTACTTCGACGACAGCATTTCCAAGAGACCGAAGAACAAGAAGAGCCAACCGATGAAGAAAGGGACAAGGAAGGGACAGCAGTTCTAATGGAGACTCTGCTGTACACGTGCACTTGGCAGCAATGTGAACTGCTCGCCATGCGGCAGGTCCTCATCCGCCATGAAACAACGCTCAAGGCAATGGACAAGAGGATCGCGACCCTGCAGACCGAGAACAGCACACTACATGCCGCCAACAGCCAGCAGCGGACACTCAACCACCAGTTGCAGGCAGATGTCAGCATGGGGTTGGCACAACTGTCAGCAGCTGCGTCAACGGGCAGTGCAGCGGTAGACTGCCGCCCAGCTTTGGCCGCGCAGGCCAAGCAACTCGAGGAGCGGATCAACCACTTGGTCGCATCCCTCGGCGACACCAGCAAGTTTGCTGGAGCATTGACAGTCAGCAATCAGCTGCAGACGCTCAGCGACCGCGTTGACCAACGACCGGCCGCTGCCACCAAGGAATGGAAGATGCCGAACTTCAAGATCGAGAAGTTCGATGACTATCACAAAACTGATCCGCTGCAATGGTGGATGACTTTCAATGCAGAGGCGGATGTACATCACACACCCGCCCATCGGCGGCTTGACGCACTCTACCCCAACTCATCGGAGGCGCGCAGGCTTTCATGACACACATGGCCGTCACGATGGAATGCACCATCACCAACCTCCACACGAAGATCACGTGGGAGGAATTCGAGAAGAAATGGAGGACTCGTTTCATGGTCAACAACGACAAATGGCTTGCCATGAACAAGATCTCCCGCATCTACCAAGGCCAGCAGACGTCACGGGAGTGGCTGACGGAGTGGCAAAGACTCGTCGCCACCCCGGAGTTGAATTTACCATTCGACGCAATCCGGGCCGAATTCTTCGCCCGGTCATGCGACGCCTTGACTGCGGCCTTGGGCACTGAGTTTCAATAGGAGACCTTTGATGATCTGATCTCAAAGGCATGAGAGCTAATTCAAGGTAACCGACGTGCTGCCAATGAGACCCGCCAACAACCCGGTTACGTGGAGAAAGGAAAAGGTCAACGGACGCCGCAAGTAGCAGCAGTCCAGCACGGAACAAGTGAGGACCACGCAGCCGCGTCTACATCAAGTGACGGAGATGTGGCGGCAGCGATAGCACCGCAACGCTCAAGACCCCGAGGGGGAAAACAAAAGGCSAAACCAGCGTCGGCGGATGGAGSACGACAGGCACCATGGACGAARTTCRGCATTAYCGAAGAMATGTTCAAGTTGCGACAGAAATGGTCATGCTGTTTGTGGTGCAACAGCACCAAACACATCACCAGCGCATGCCTCGACAAGGACAAGGAGAATGTCAAACGTTCAAGCTCGGGAAACTGAGCACCACGGGAAGTGCAACGACATCACTTCCCAATCCGTCGGAGTCGGCTGCCTTGCTAGCAGCCTCTCTCACATCCGGGGATGACGCGGTAGTCGCAAGTTCTCGCATTGAGTATGAGCACTATGCTGTCGAGCTGGTCCCACTGTTGAACCAGCCTCTCCACGTGCAAGATTCAAGCGCATGCGCGGTAGTTCCACCGTCGGACAACGAACCGGTTGCTTCGCCAGCCCTTCTATTGGAGGATCCGTCAACTTGGGCGAGTCTTGAGGATCTCGACCCATTGACGGTTGAGGAATTCCAATGGTTGCCTCTTCCCTCCACCGGTTCTTTGCCAACCCCGCATTGCAATGCTTTAATGGCACATTTGCGCGAATACTTGCACGCTGCAGTACCACCTCCATCGACGGACGACGGAGTAGCGGTTGTTGATCTTTATAACTATCTTGCGAAGATCGACCGCGAGTACACAACGCAACAGTACGTCGACAACGACGCGCCGCTCCTCTACATCCGCATTCAGATCGGAAAGGCGACCTGCAGTGCCTTGATCGATTGTGGAGCGACTCGCAACTACATCAGCCAAGACTTCATGGCACGAGCCGGGCTTGGCCCGCGCGTTCGAAGGAAAAGTCAGCCTACGCACGCCACGTTGGCCGATGGTCACACGCAAAAGTCAATCGACCGATGCGTTGACTCGGTGCCCGTGTACTTCGCCCCGTTAGCATGCGAGGCCGTGTCTTTTGACATATTGGACAACAAGTTCGATATGATCCTAGGCATGTCGTGGCTGCAAAGCGAAGACCATCCAGTGAACTTCCATGGACGCACCGTTCACGTTCGTGATCGGTGCGGCGAACTAGTTCCGTGTACGGTGCCGCTTCCTCATCCTTTGATTGGTTGTCACGTGGTATCCGTGGCGAGCATTCGCCAATCCATCCGGCGGAACGACATCGAGGAGATGGGCATATGTTTTCTTCATGCCCTCTCACCCGGTGATCAGCCCAAGACGGATACGTCGGACCCACGCATCATTGAGCTGTTGGACAGCTATGAGGATGTCTTCCAAGCTCCCGCCGGAGTCATACCAGATCGGCCCATGCGCCACGGGATCACTCTCGAGGACGGCGCCGTACCTCCGCGCGGATGTATCTACCGCATGAGCGAAGAGGAACTTCAAGTGCTTCGGGCACAACTAGACGACCTCTTGGCCAAGGGTTGGATTCGCCCTAGCTGTTCGCCATACGGTGCTCCCGTTCTCTTCGTCCGAAAGAAGAACAAGGACCTTCGATTGTGTATTGACTATCGGAAACTTAACGCACAAACGATCAAGAACGCCGGCCCTCTCCCTCGGATCGATGATCTTCTCGAGCGACTCGGTGGCTCCAAGTACTTCTCAAAGCTTGACCTCAAGTCCCGATACCACCAGATCGAGATCCAGCCAAGAGACCGGTACAAAACCGCGTTCAAGACGCGGTATGGGCACTTTGAGTGGATCGTCATGCCTTTCGGTGTCACCAATGCCCCGGCTACTTTCCAAGCGGTCATGATGACGGAATTCCGCGACTTGCTCGACCGCACCGTGCTTATTTACCTCGATGATATCTTGGTTTATAGCCGGCCGTTGGACGAGCACCTCGAGCACCTTCGCGCCGTATTGGAGCGGCTTCGTATCGCCAAGTACAAGGCGAACCGCGACAAGTGCGAGCTTGCCCAGCAAGAGCTGGAGTACTTAGGCCATTACGTTACACTGCAAGGCATTCGTCCGCTCGCGGACAAGGTACAAGCTATTCAAGATTGGTTGGACCTCAAGTGTACTACCGACGTTCGCTCCTTTCTCGACTTGGCATCATACTACATGCGCTTCGTCAAAGGATTTCAACGTATCGCTGCACCATTGTTGCGACTTCAGTCCTCCTTGGAGCCCTTCGAGTTCAGCGACGAGGCCCGGCATGCGTTTCACACGCTGAAGACGACTTTGCTTCAAGTTCCCGCCTTAAGCATCTACGAGACCACGACCCGATATTGCCCACCAAAGTGACTACGAACGCTTCCCGTTACGGCATTGACGCAATTTTGGAACAACATGACGGCACAAACTGGCATCCGGTTGAGTACTTCAGCCAAAAGGTGCCACCCATCAACACTCTTGATGATGCGAGGAAGAAGGAACTCCTAGCTTTTGTCACCGTACTTAAGCGTTGGCGTCACTTTCTCCTCGGGCATCGACGATTCACGTGGGCAACGGACAACAATCCGTTGACGTATTACAAGACGCAAGGCACGGTGAGCAGCTCGATCGGTCGATGGATGTACTTCATTGACCAGTTCGACTTCACCTACAAGCACATTTTGGGCTCCTCGAACAAGGCAGCGGATTCTCTCTCGCGAAGACCTGACCTTTGCGCCTTGGTGCACTCCATGTTTGGCCTCGACGATAACCTGCAACAACATTTTGTAAACGGCTACAAGTTGGATCCGGGATTCTCCACACTCTATGCAGACTTATCATCGGATCAACTGGCGACAAGCAACTATCGCATTGTCAACGACTACTTGTTCCTCCACACACGAGGCAAGGACTTGTTGTGTGTTCCCCATGACCGCATCTTGCGCACTCGCCTCCTTGGCGAATACCACGATTCGCGGTTGGCGGGACACCTTGGCGTCGCACGCACACTAGCACGACTCCGCTGGCGATTTCACTGGCCGGGCATCATCAGCGACGTCAACCGGTACAATCATGTGCAGTTTGCCACCGGAACAAAGGGCGCCATCAGCTCCCGTACGGCGAACTGAAACCATTGCTGATTCCTCGGGCACGGGTTCTCTCCATTGCTATGGATGTGACCGGTCCTTTCCCTCGCGATCGCCTTGGTCATGATGGCATTCTCACGGTCGTTGACCGTTTGAGCAAGTACGCTCGATTTCTTCCATGCAAGTATCATGCGACGGCTCCCAAGCTCGCACGACTTTTGCATACCGGCTGGTTTTGCAGCCACGGCGTTCCGGAAGACATCGTCAGCGACCGCGACACTCGTTTCATGTCGGCCTTTTGGACGACACTCATGGTGGAATCCAGCACCAGCATGAAATCGAGTTCCGCACGTAGTCCTCAAACGGATGGGCAAATGGAACGTGCGCACCAGATTGCGCAGATGATGTTCCGCACACTCATCCGCCTGGATCAGAAGGATTGGGTTGATCGCCTTCCCGACATCGAGTTCGCCTATAACACTTCGGTGCACCCGGCGATTGGCGTGACTCCATTCGAGTTGCACCATGATGGACGGAAACGACGTATCTTCGCAGACATTTTGATTCCACGGGCTGCCGATATAGACGCCGCTTGCTCCCCCGCTTCTACACGGAAGTACAGGGAACTGCTGGCCAAAGCCCGCACAAACATGCAAGAGGCTCATGTCCGTATGCAGCAGCAAGCGAACCGGCGTCGCATCCCATGTCCAATTCGCGCTGACGACCTAGTTTGGGTCACCTCCGAGGAATTCGCGCTCGAGCAGGACGTCTCGCACAAGCTCCTCCCGAAGTGGTTTGGACTATGGATGGTCACTTCAACAGCTGGCGACGACCCCGCGGGTCCATCTTTCATCATTGAGATCCCCCCGCATTTGACGGTCCACCCGATCTTTCACGCCTCAAAGCTGGCAGTTTACACTCTAGCCTCCGCAGCGGATTTTCCGGGCAGACGGTCACAAGACCCTCTCCTTCAATGGATGGTCATTAGGAGGTCGACCGCCTTCTCACACATCGCAAGCATGGCAACAAGTCGATGCATTACAAAGTTCCATTTAAGCAACGCGATCCGAACGACACACGCTGGATTTCAAGAGTTGACCTGAAGGCGACAACACCCCTCGTCTTCGCGCATTACGAAAAACAGCGACTCGCTAAGGAAGCTGTCCAACCTGCCCGCCCTATACGGACATTGGACAGACATCTTCGCCCTCGCAGTCAGCTCGGTCGTCAAGGGGGGGAGTGTGTGGCATTATGAGCCACACGGGCCCCAGTTAGGGCCCGACTCCAAACAGGCAGGGTAAGCCTAAGGGACGACGGTTCAGATGAGGCCCAGATGGGCGTGGGCCATGACGGTTCAGGCAGGCCCAGGCCAAACGGCCACAAGGCCGGTACCGGTCCGGCCTAGGACCTACCGGCGGCACTGCAGAGGCTGCCACAGTTTTGGGCTCCAACCAGTTTTGAAACTGGACCGTTGGCCGGTAGGTACCAGCGGGTAGGAGGCCGGCCCAGCACTACAAAAGGCTGGGTACAAGCCTCAGTAGGGAGGTTAATAAGGCTAGAGGTTAATCTTCAGGATTAGCGCATCAGCTTCAGTGTGAGCTCGTTTAGCGCAGCGCTGCAGCACAGCACGGAGCAGCGAGAGCGAAGGGTCCAACGGCGAGCGGATTAGCGCAGCACTTGGGCGCAGCGCCAGTTACCGGCCCAGCCCCTTGCAGCGCCATAGCGACGGTACCAGGTATCAGGGAGGAAGGCTTCGCCTTTCCTCCCTCTTCTCCTCCATCGCTCCGCTCTTCTCTCTCTTCTTCTCTCTCTCTCTCTCTCTCTCCTCTTACCTTCTCAGTCTAAGTCTACTCCTACTCCTACAGGACTACTTTGGGTATGGGAGATGGTTACGAATTCTGATGACATATGAGACAACGACATTGGGACTACGAGTTGAGGACTACTTGGGATCTGATTTCATCTTCCTTTTGAAGATGTACTTGACATTGTGAGATCGATATCTGAGATATTGTGAGACTTGGCATTCGCGACATTTCGGATTTTCGTCACTTCTGACAATTCAAGATACTATCTTTGGAAACATTGAGTTGACGTCATCTTCCCTTTCCTCCTCCTTCGCCTCTCCCCTCTCTTCGTCTGTGGATGATCTCATTCCTTTTTTCCAATATCTATATATGTATTCTATATCTGTATCTATTCTATATGTATATCTATTTTATCTATATCTATATCTATACTCTATGTATTTACTCTTACTAAAGATTGGAGAGGGTCTCACGTGACGCCCCCACGGTACCCGGCTGCAAGTGTTGGGAAGACGTTGGGGACGGGGGAGGCAGCCCAAAGGGAAACCGCATGTGACCGTATATCTATCTATATCTATATCTATATCTATACCTATCTATCTATATCTATATCTATACCTTACTAAAGACTGGAGAGGGTATTGCGTGACGCCCCACGAGGGCCGACTGCAAGTGTTGGGAAGATGCTGGGGACAGGGGAGGCGGGATCTATATATATATATACTTTTACTAAAGACTGGAGAGGGTCTCGCGTGACGCCCCCACGAGGGCCGGCTGCAAGTGTTGGGACGACGCTGGGGAGAGGAAACCGCATGTGAGCGTGGAGAATCCCGACGCATTTTTTTTTTTTTTTTTTTTTTTTTAATTGCCAAAAGGGTGTTTCTTTTTTTACAAAGCCAGGACTCAGACCCGGCGTCCCTTACAAAAAAAAGAAGGTGAAACCCCTTGATCGGGGCATCATCGATCGAGGTCAGAGGGGCCCCCAGTGTGTTGTACCCCAACTATTTGTGGCTGCAATGCAAAATGCAAGCAACCAGGCCATGTATCATGCATGTACTACTCTCCTATGCACATTCTCCCCCAGACACACTGCATCATCCCTGGGCCTTGCATTCTGACGGCTTCCAAATTCCGCCTGCTAATACAAAACTACAAAACTACAAAACTAACTCTACTACTTGTGCTGAGCCACAGAAGCAGCATACCTACCCTGAAGTTACGATCAAGAAGCAACAAACAAACGTTTGTACAACCAACAAGTACATAGGGGCTCGCCACAAAGCCTTTAGAGACTCGCCGCACAGGCTGTCGAAAACCCGGTTTTCGACAATTTTGCATCGCCACACAGACTTTTGAAGAATTGCGGCTCAAAACTTTTCGACAGGTGTCAGAATGGTACGCTCGACAGCCACCCTCCTGCAGCAGACGGAAATTCGACAGTGCCCCACCGGCCTTTCGAGAATTGAGTTCGAATTTGCAGTGTCAGGGACTTTTCCGTGACGGCCATGACCAAAAACCTTGCCCCTCGACAACCTGTGTGGCGAAGGGGGCGTAAACTGTCGACCGCCGACTTTCAAATTTTTGCTGACACCTGTAGAAACTCTTTGAGTTTCAACAGCCAGTGTGGCAAGCCTCTTAGAATGAAGGCATTTTCAGAAAAACGTCAGACTTATTTTGAAAGGCTGCTCGTCGAAAGAAACTCCCCCTCCCCTTGGCCTCACAGACTTTCGAAACACCAGCCGGCTTTCAATACGGACATCGTAATCTCCTGTTTTTCTTTCTTTGTTTTTTGCTAATAGCCCATTTTGGGAGTGCCCTTTCCACAAGACCACTCGCGGGCTTTTGAAAACCCCGTCGTGACAGGCGGGAAGAGGTTGCTCATTCGAAAGGCCTTTTGAGGCCCTACTCGCTGACATGTTTCAAAACTTTGTCAAAAAGCAGTTGTGTAGAAAGCCCGTGTGGCAAAGACACGGTGTGGATTTTCCATGTTTCAAAAGGCTGTGTGGCGAGCACCTCAGTAAATTTTTTTTTTTTTTTTTTTTGAAAGAAAACCCCCGTCCGTGTTAGTGCTGCTGATAAGAGTAGACACCAGTGGATTCGTTTTATCTTTCTCGTCTTTTTCTGGAAGTGGAAGGGCGTGTAGATTCGTTAGGTTATCTTTTTCAGTGGATTCTTTTGTTTTTTTTTCTCGTATTTTTCTGATGACATGCCACAACTAGCAGGCCTCACCATGTGCACAAAAATATTTGTTTTTTCTTTATTTTTTTAAGCTGAACCAATTCTATTACCTGTCAAATTTGGACAGGACCTCCTTTCAGGCCCCTTTTATTGTTAAGTGGCATTCAGGAGGTCTTGGGTTCAATTCTCGTTTTTCCTGGGCAAGCTTGGCGCCTACCACCTAGAAATCGGCCGTTGGTCCCCCTTAGTGGCATTTAGCAGAGACTGCTGATGTTCATAGGGGGAGGGCACGGGAGGGGAGGGACAATGACTGGCCCATCGAAGAAGGGGTCGGTCCTGATGCTACCGGCTGACCCCTGGCCGGTATCGCCCGCCTGCGGTAGCAAGTATCGCACCTGCCGGTGGGTGCATGTTTCCTCGTTGGAGGCTTGAGCACGGATGTGGCTGCTACGGGTTCCCCGTAATCCTATCCCTTAAGGAGCATTGGCCGCGGGGGGAGGTCGATGGTCCACTACGCGCCGGATTTGAGGTCGAAGGGGCGGTGGATGAAGGCGATCCAGGGCGGGGGAGTGTGCAGAGGGGAACGCGTACCGAGATGTTAGCTACGTGCCATTAAAGGAGAGAGCACGCCCACGGGGCCAGGTGGCGGGCGTGGATTTTTTTTTTCTCTTTTTCAGTCGTTTTCCACTTTCTTTTGTTTTTGTTTCGTCGCCGTCACGGTTATCGTTTGTCGTTTCTCGCTTTCTCCATCGCACGAAAGTTTTTTTTTTCGGTCGTTGTTTTTCGCTTTCTTTTCTTTTTGTTTCGTCGTCGTCACGGTTTTCGTTTGTCGTTTCGCGCTTTTCTTTTACTTCCGTCGCGCAAAAGTGTTTTTTTTTCGGTTGTTGTTTTTCGCTTTCTTTTCTTTTTGTTTCGTCGTCGTCACGGTTTTCGTTTGTTTTTTCGCGCATTTCTTTTGCTTCCATCACGCTAAAGTTTTTGTTTTTCGTCGTCGCCGTGGTTTTCGTTTGTCGTTTCCCGCTTCTTTTCTTCCCGTCGTTTGTAGTCTCCCAATTTTTTTTGAGTTTTTTTTTTCCTTTTTGGTTTTCACCGTCGTTTGTCGTTTAACTTTTTTTTCTTTTTCTTTCGTTGTCGTTTCGTTTTTCCGCCAAAAGGCATAGGGGCGGGTGCAGACAGCTATACCCACCGGCCTGCAGACACAGACACATACCACACCACACCGCAGAGCACCCACCCGACCGCCCGCCCACCCGCCCGCTCGCCCGCCCACACACACACACAGACATCACCCACCCACCTACACACACACAAACACACCACCCACTCACACAGACACACACACACAAATATTACGATTATGAAGTTTGTTGCCAATGTTTGTCGTTGGGGTTTGAACCCACGCACAAATTTGAGATACATAACTGTATGATTTGATAACCACTCAGGTCGACTGGGTCCTTGTGTGTTTTGGGGGGCTGCTTTTTTATGAAGTGTATCCGACGTCGGGCAGCTGGCAGGTCAGGATGTGCCTGTGTCCAAACCCTAACGTTGCACAGTGTGGCAGGCAGGTCTAGTTTCGCAATTTTCAAGCGCCAACTCTGGCGATTTTTCGTGCTCAGAAAAATTGAAGAAAAAATATGAAAAATGGAGATCCTGTTTATTAGGTTGTGATCTTTCCAGAAAAAATATCAAAAAAATTAAAAGAAAAAAAAAAAACTGCGAAATAAATGTCGCGCCGTTTCGTTGCATTCTCCAGCTTTGTCATTCTGGCACGTGTTCGCGAACGGGAAAAGTACCCCAGCTTCCGCGATTTTTTGCGCTCAGGCGAATGACTCCACAACTCCGAAAATTGAAGGGCCTGTAGATTTGGTCGTGATCTTTCCACAAAAAATATTGAAAAACATTCAAAAAATATTTAACATAGTGAAATAAATGCCGCGCCAATTCGTTCTATATTTCATTTTTGGTGTTTTTTGCTGCTCTTTCTCTACTGGCCAACGAGAAAAGTACCCCAACTTTCGCGATTTTTCGCGCTTAGATGGATGACTCCACAACCCTGCAAATTGAAGGGCCTGTAGATTTGGTCATGACCTTTCCACGAAAAATATTTACAAATTTAAAAAGAATATTTAAGATCGTGAAATAAATATCGCGCCAAATTATCTC